TAACTGAAGAAAGCATAGAGAAGACACAGACACTATTAAAATGTTAAATATTAAAAAACTATGGAAAAAGCCATGTTAAATGTACAGTTACCTGTAAGAGTAACTAAAACTGGAAAGCATAACCACAAAATTCACTTATAGATTCAGCACAACTGGATCTGCAATATGATGTAGCAATTAGAAATGATAATGTGACAAATGTTTTCATAATTGAAAGTATGCTTTCAAACTTTTTCAGCAAAGAATTTTTGAACATGTGTCTTAGAGAATGAAGGACTATATTCACATAAAAATATATATAATAGTTCCTAGAAGTTTTAGCTTTAATAACTAAAACTGGTACACTAATCAAATGTTGCTCAGGTAAACAGTTAAATAAATTGTGGCACACAGATGCTGTGGAATACTGCTGAGAAAAAGAAAAGGGCAAAGTATTTATATATACAATTTGGTTGAACCTCAAGAAGTTGCTTGGAGATAAATAAGCCAATCTCAAAAGGGTACATATTGCACAAGACCCTTCATGAAGTGCTTGTCAGGGGTAAATGTTGGGGATGACTGAATGGGTGTGACTATGAAAAGAAACAGCAGGTAGTCTTGTGAGGCTGGCAGATTTGAATATCTTGATTATAATGTTGATAAGACAAAGGTGCTACCTGAACATGTACAAAGAGCAACACCTCTCTCATGCATGCCAAGTACATACACAGATAGAAAGGGTGCATGAATATGTTGTGAAAACTATGAAAACTTCCTGGAAAAGATCAATATCAGTTTCTAGGTTTTCATATTGTACTACAGCTATGCAAGATACCATCATTGGCAAGGTTAAGTCAAGGATGCATATGACTTTTTGTGCATTATTTTTTAACTTCCAGTTAGTATAGATCTGGAAATCAATTGCAAGAAAAATTGCAGGCTCTATTCCTTAAAAGCCCTGAAGAAATAAATCACAGGGTCTCAAGTATTTGGCAAATTTTAATGCTTTTATCTCTCACTCCACTGATGAATATAAAAACTTTTATAGGGCTGGGGATTTAGCTCAGCGGCAAAAGCGCCTGCCTGGCAAGCGCAAGGTCGTGAGTTCGGTTCCCGGTACCGGAGAAAAACCAAAAAAAAAAAAACAAAAAACAAAAAAAACTCTTATAGACTGTGGTAAACTCTCTTGTATTAATAGAGTAAAATTAAAACAAATTCATTTGATAAAATACCATAAACAATGAAAATTTTCATTTGAAACAGGTACAACCTTAATGACTTCAAAGAGAGATATTTTGGTATTTTTATAAGATGAAAACTTATGCAGATACTAAAAAGTAGAGTTAATTTTATATTATTAATATGAAACTGAATTGTATAACATTTTCTATAAAAAACAGGATTCCAAAAAAGTTATTAGATTATTTATTACTTGACATCTGCAAAATAGATGTCATTTATTACTTGACATTGCTGTTATTTATTGCTTGACATTGTCAAAACAATATAGATGATTCTTAGTAGAAGAGCTTATTTGAAGTATGAACTTATATAATCTGTACTTTTTAACGTATATATAATATAATTATATTATATGTTCTATATAATTATATTATATGTTCTATATAATTATATATAATATATTTAATATATATAATCTGTACTTTTAAATGTAATGAATAATTGTGAAAGTTTTCTTATTAGTAGAATCACAAATTGCTTAAACCAGAAATGAGGGTATAACTGCACAGGGTGAAAACCAGCATGGGAACTCAATATCAGTGGAAATATGAGTACTGGAACCACTGGATGTGTTTGTAGAGCTAAATGCTTGTCTTTCGGGGCTGGGGATTTAGCTCAGCGGGAAAAGCGCCTGCCTGGCATGCGCAAGGTTGTGAGTTCGGTTCCCGGTACCGGAGAAAAACCAAAAAATAAAAATAAAAAAAATAAAAAATAACTGCTTGTCTTTCATGTTTAGAATATAACCATTTAACACATACAGTCTAACATACTAATAAGTTTAATATAAGAAATAGAGATTAACCACATTATTTAGAATTGAGTTATGCATCAAGGGAAGCACTAAAAATTTCCATTGTCTAAAAAATTGGATGGAATCCAGAGTTTAAACTGAGTTCCAAAGAGCCAATAGAAAGACAAAGATGCACTCCTCTCCCCCAAATGAGCAAGTTCCTTGAACAAATTTCTTTTCAGATCACGGGCATATCTAAAACAATAGCCACTCCAACGGGCTGGATAAACTGACGGTGGTTATTCAAATAATCACATCCTACACATCAGTGAAAATAATATATTCACTGGAAATGGCTTTGTGGAGAGCTCCTGGATTTCTGATGATTCGAGTGATTAGATTTTCTTCCAAAATCTGTAGCATCCCATGACACCTTTATAGAAAGGCGATCTCCATTCAGTGTCTTAATGAGCTGCAGAGAACAGTGAGTGAGTGATGCATGACGCTTGTCGGTTCACATTAAGCTCTGGACTGACCTGTTTCTGCCAAGGGTGAATTCAGTCCTTTATAACTGCACCTGCTAATGTAGAACCAATCTCCCATGCTTGCAAAGATAATGTAGGTGATATCTCAGGACCTTCCACAGTTGTAAATATATATTCACCTAAGAGAAATATCACAGTGGATAAGGGGAGGGGGAAAGGACCATCTTTCCCTAAGGCTTTGATCACAATCCTGTAACTTTACATATTTCTTCCTCTGAAATAACATGGCACTCAGTTGTTTTTACAGTGTTTTGAAGGATGGAAAAATTTAGACCAAGGGAAGAATAGTCAGTACATAAACAAACACATGCCTGAGTGATGCTCAGGGAAAACTGTTAAGTAGATAACCCAGTCTCCAGCTTCCTGGGTGCTTCCCAAGGGGAAAAAATCATATCATCCGCAGAATCACCTCCTTACACTGGTCTGGTAGAAGGTAAGAGCTCCTTCAATGATGTTGGATTATCACACATTTACCCGGCATCTAGTTGTGTGTCAAAATCTTCTGGCAAATTATTAAAATATTAAAATAATATCTTAATAAATTATGTTTTAATTTGCAGCATGCAACTTTACTACCTAGTGAACTGATTGTGGACCCTGAGAACCCACAATAAGTGTGTCACTCTGAGCCCTGCACCACTACCCAGCCTGAGGGGAATGAGGGGAAGGATCCACTCTGACCCTTAGGGACCATGCAATTGACTCTGGGAGCGGGCAGAGGGTCAGATCTAAAATCACACCCAGTCTCCCGCTGCCCACTCCCGGTCCCTCCTGTATGGGACACGTCCAGTGTGTTTCTTCCTTCCACTGGAGGGAGACTTCACTGTGTTCTGTTCCCTCCTCTGCATTCAGGAGGCCACTTCCACCTTTGCACACGGGGCCGCAGCATCTTCAGCGTTGCCGCCCTTGACTCCTTCACATCCTTTCTATTCCTGCCCCAAGATTCTGGCTCCACACCAAGGCTCTTCAAGGAGGGCCATGTTGTCAGGCTGTGACTATGGAAGATCACAGAGTAAGACTGCAAACATTCTGGGAATGGCATGTGGGGAAGACATGGTCCATTGGCAACAGGGTCCCAGGAAAAATATGAGTGCCGAGAAAGGGTCAGCGACCTCTCAGGGACTCTGTTGATCAGGGGACAGTGCCACTTACATTTCTCCAGTGTTTCTAAGATCACAGCTCTCTGTTCTTTTTTATCATGGAATTTGTCTGCCACCTATGGGAAGATTTGTGACATAGCAACTTACCGGGTTTTTAGTTGGGGCTCCCTTGAGCCAGTTTTTGTACCAAATTTCGTGAATCTAATCCTATTCCATCCATTGCTAGGTTTGAGTCTATCGAAAATTCAACTGATTTTTCTTAACAAATAGCCCAACTTATCGAGGACAAAACATAATCAGTTAAGCAGGATTTATGAAAAATTAGTAATCTCAACACATTTAAATTTATAGGTTTTAAGTTCCACGTGAGAGCTCCAATGAGCAGTTTTGGCAAACAGCTCAGCACCCTGAGCAACCCAGCAGGGTGAAGTGGTAGGTGTTAGGAGGAGGCCAGTTGTTCCTATTCTAGATCCATGAACTCAGCCATCCCAGAAACCCTCCCTTGCAGCTCTGCTGTGAGATCCCCAGCTGCTCAGGCTGGGAGAGCTCCCACGCTCAGCGCTAGTGCTGTAGATGCACTGGGTAAGGAGGCAGCAGAGGTCCCAGAGGGACGATGGCTCCTGCAGAGGCTGTTCCCACCCTGCCCTTTGTGGCCTCCATCAACAACAAACACGGAGCCACATTCTTTTTTATTTTAGGGAGAATAAAAAGTACAAAATGCAATAAAAATGATAATTTCAAAAAAATACAATAGAAAATTAACATTCTTTAATATATCAATAATGTCTGGTTATCTAAGGAACCACAAATCTTTCCTTTATAAAGAACACCAATTCATCTCTCCCCAGTGATGCAGAAACCAAATCCTTTCAGTGCAGCAACTCCCTTTCCTCACGGGTCACAAATGTAACTCAAAGCCTTAACTGAAATGGGACCAGAAAATAGACAGACACAATCATAACAACATCAGATATTCTCCTCTCTCCTATATGAAAACTTTTTTTAAAAAAAAGTCAGCTATAAAATGGAAGAGTGCTTGCTAAGGACTTGAGGGGAAGCAAATCAAGAGTACAAGTGTGGAAGGGTGGATGGATGGAAGCATGAATGGATAGGATCAATGTAAACTGTCTGCATACACAGGAATATTAGAGTGAATTCCATTGAAATCTGCAATTAATATCCAATTAACATCCTTAAAATATACTCCCAAGAAACAAATACTGTGTGTAATCAAATCATCTTGCCTATGTTTAGAATAATTCTTGTTTGTAGTATCTGTGGTGTCATCTCTTTTTCCGTATGATTTTCAACCTGTGATACAACATAAATGCCTCCCTTATAGGCTTCCTGCATCTGAGAAATGTTCTGAGCAGACAGAGATGCCAGGAGGAACAGCTGGGCAGCCTAAGCTTTCACTTCTGCTTCCTGGGAGGTTTTTGTTATGGCTTGTATCGCTGTGGGAGGCCTACTGTGATGCTGCTGACAGTAATAAGTTGCAACATCTTCAGGCTGCAGGTTGCTGATGGTGAGAGTGAAATCTGTCCCAGACCCACTGCCGCTGAACCTGGAGGGCACCCCAGATGCCAAATTGGTTGCATAATAGATCAGGAGTTTAGGAGCTTGCCCTGGTTTCTGCTGATACCAGGCTAAATAATTGCTAATGCCCTGACTGGCCTGGCAGTTGATGGTCACGCTGCCTTGCAGAGATGCAGACAGGGTGGATGGAGACTGGGTCATCAGGATGTCACATCTGGCACCTGAAATTGGGGACAAACACGCAAAATGACTACACAATCAATCATGTTCCCTGAGACTTCCCTGAAGGCCAGGCAGTACTGACTGCACTGACTGAGCAATGTCCCAGTACTGGCCCTACTTACCTGGGAGGCAGAGCAGCAGGAGCCCCAAGAGCTGAGAGAGGACCCTCATATTCCTGCTGTGTCTTGAATAAGACTGAGTCCTGCACAAAATGTGACTGGCTTATCAAGCAATTTTCGGAGCAAAGGGCTGTGCTCTGGAGACATGCAAATAAGAGGAGGCTGGGCAGGGCTGGGCACAGCTGCAGGGCTGGCTCAGCTCAATATTTCAGCACAGGCTCATCGTCTCCAGACATCCCAGGTTTGAGCAGAATTGCACAGCCTTGCCTGAGAAAATGTGCTCTCCCTAATGATCACAGGATAGAGCTGGTCATCTGTCTCTTATTCAAGTGGTGCCCTCAAGGTACCACATGCCTTATCTTGTTGTCTTTCCATTTACCACAGGATCTTTTAGAAAATATCCCAGAACCTAACCGGTTTTATGCTCCCAGCATTTGGAACCTGAGTTTGTGTCTTAGGCAGGAAAGGATTTGCTATTGCTCTGATTCCCTGATTACATGGTGATTCCCATTCATCGCCACTACCATGCAGGAATGCAGTCAGGTAAAGGGGAGAAGGAATTGCACTTTTCCTGATGAGTAAGGAAACAGCCAGACACTGAGCATTTCCTTGTTGTCTTGTCATCTCCATCCAAGACTTACTTTCTCCATCTTTGAATTCTCTCTCTGATCCCTTCAATCACAGCCAGCCTCACTAAGAATTTCCTCCTTGTACATCTGAACTGGTTTGGTGGCTATTCTAGCTCTGCATATGGTTTCACATTTCCAGGTTATATATTCCATGAGCTCCTCAAATTGATGCTTGTGGGTTTTGAAAGTCTTCACCCAGCCATTCCCTTCAAAAGAATAATTACTCCTTCATATCACTGCTCATGTACCCAAACTGACTGTACTGTGTTGCTGAAAAATATGTATTTCTTTGCAGTCTAGCTCTTTGAGTTCTGAGCCCTATAGGACTAAGCAGATAGCCAAGCAAGAAGGTGATTGGGGATCAGTGAACCTATTGTTGGAGCCTGCACAGCCTGATTATACATGGGGTATAAGTGGGAGACACCATGGGGTGTAGAAGCTAGAGTGGGGAGACCATGCAGGGCTTCTCAAAGAATCGTAAGACTCTCTCTGCACTTCGTTGCATTCAGTGGAAATAACTTAGAATCACCTGAGAGTGCTATTTAGTCCCAGAAGTGTGAACACAAGAAAAACTACAAGTGCACAGAGGAGCAGGACCCAACTCTCGCCGCTCAGCGTGTTGACACTATTTCCCTGAAGACAGATGACGGTGCTAACTTGCAGGCAAGGAAGTTCTCCACGATGATCCTCTATTCTCTGCACTCCTGCAATTTACATAGTGTATTCACCTCTCAGATCCAAGTCTTTCCAACCTTCACAGTCGGGAACACTTTTGCACCTATACTGCAATCCCTCCTGGATGTGAGGTTGATTTTGATTGTTTCATCAGGAACAGGAAACTCCAAGAGTTTCCATTTGGTCTTTTTCTGCCATAGAATTCCTGATGCTACACTTCATGTAACCAGTATGGTGATTCTGTCAAGTACTAAGTATATCTGTTCCATGTACACGTTTTTGAAGAGGAGAAATGACCACAGAAAGGATCAAGGACATACCAGACCCACTGTGAGCCAAAGCTTGGTTAAAAATCGATTGGTCAGTTGACCTCCATAGGTTCCTACATGTATCAAGAGCCTCAATAATTTTCTAGATCTTCTGGTAGGAGTGTGAATTCAGAACCTATGTGTAGTATTCCTAAAAATATCATAGCATTTTCTTTTCTGTGATTACTGTTACCCTGGTAAATGCTATAGTCCCTCTGGGGAAAGTGGAAGAAAGAATGACAGCATAACTTTTGGTAATCCAGGGCCCTTTTTTTGGTAATCCAGACCCATGTTTGTCTCTGCTCAAGAGGTACTGGGTGAGTAAACTGGAAATTTTGTGGGAACTTACTCAACAAACGTAGTAAGAATTCTGTTATGAAGATGTTGGTAGAAGACAAATTCTAATTTTTTCTCTTGAATGATGAATGGTAACAACTACATCAATATGACTAAATGTTTAAGAGAATAACAAAATGAAGAAACACTTCCCAAATGATCATACATCCTTAATTTTTCAGACAGTCAGGTATTTTGTGTCTCTTATTGATATGTTTTTTCAATGTCATTATCTCTATAACCCTCAGGTGACAGGACATCTGTCAGGAGTAAAACAAACAGATTTTCTTTTGAAGTGAAAAATAATCGGACACATTATTGTGAGCATAGAGAAAGGAATTTTCACAGGCTAAACCATCTGAGCCTTTTATATTAGGCAAATCATCTTCAATTAGACTGTTTGAGCCTCCACCGAATCAGTAAAATATTTTCAGGTGGGCATTTGCATTTAGTAAGTGATTGAGAAACAAGGAAAATCTCCAAGTCACTGTCAAAATTATACCTGGTCATGGTTGCTGATATTGATTGTGAGTAAATAAGATTGTCCTATATATTTAGTTCATAATGGAAATATTAAACTAGTGCATATACCTTTATCATCATCTCTTTCAATATATGATTATATAAGTGCAGACAACAATGTATTGAAATGTATGTACATAAATAAACAGTGGAATTATGTGTACATATATATTATATATATAATGCCTGCACATAGTGTTAGATATAAAGTATGAACACAATTATATCCCATGTCTATAAAATATATGAAAGTCTATAATATGGTTAAATGTTTTAGGTGTTACTGATGTACACAATGTTAATCCTAATTACCTGTGGTAAGTTATCTATACAATAATTTAAATTTTTATTCAAATATAATTTAGGCTTTAGATTTTTCCTGTGGTTTCTATCTCTTTAAGAATAAATCTGTAAGTATTTATTTTATGCTTTCAGTTGTAAAATCAGTTTACCTATTTGAATATTGAAATACTGTATTAACAACTTTGTCACAGCACAGGACAAATTTCACAGTACTGGTTTGCATTAAGCTGTTCAAATCTAGGTGGCTTCTAAGCTCAAGCATTCATTTTCCTTTCCGTGGATGTTCATGTTAAGGATCATCTGACTTGTGATTTGTGTTTGGGGATGCACCACTGTGGGAGGATGTTTTATGCCTTGCATGCAGTAATAAACTCCCACATCCTCAGCTTCCACTCTGCTGATTGTGAGTGTGAAATATGACCCTGACCATGGCCACTGAACTTGTCTGGGACCCCAGAGAACCAGTTGGTTCTTTTATGGATCAGGCCCCTTGTTGCCTGGCCTGGCTTCTCTAGGTACTAATACAAACAGGTGACTCTGCTACTGTGTAAGAGACTCTGAATGGAATTGCAGGAGATGGAGGCCAGCTCTCCATGGTGACAGGTAGGGAGAGTGGAGACTGAGTCATTGCTATATCCCCAGTGGATGCTGAAAAAAAAATGAAAGGAAGATTCAAGGTTAGGACAAATTTCAAAAGCCATTTTCAGGACTTTTCATTTATTTCAAGTTAATCTTTCTCCTTCAGAACATAATAATAAAATACTAAAAAGCACTTGCCACTGCAGTTACATGACAAAGGGAATTCTTTCTTCCTTAAAATCTTCATCAGAGCACTAGTCATTATTTTAAGTGGTTCTCCCTGAGCAAAATATCAGATCCCCTTCCCTGGAGCAAGGAGTACATGTCTCTAATGCATGGTCAGTATAAACATGACAGCCTTAGGTTCCATCCCCAACACACACACACACACACACACACACACACACACACAAACTCACCTTCCTCTTCTCCCTCTGCAATTACTGGGATCCAGAGCATGAGCAGCCCCTGGAGCAGAGCAGAGAACCTCATTTCTGAGAGTTGAACTGAGCGGCCTTGATCAGTTGAGGCAGGACAAGGGCTGTGGTTTTATTTGAGACTTTCAGGGAAGGGCCTCCTCAGGGACACTTTGCAAATGTCCCTGGGGGCAGTGGTGTGACATGATTTGTAAGGTGCAGGCTAAAGAGACAAATGCAGGAAGTGGACAAAATGACACAAAAAGCCCCATGGAGAAAAACAAATAAGGGTTAAGTCAAATCTGTCTTTATTAGTGACAAGAGGGGTCTGAAGATAAAGGTTTTGATGGAGAAACATGACATAGGACCTGCACTCTCAGGAAACTGATTTCCAGGAAATGCCGAAGGATCTCTGTAGGAGTCACTGAGAGGCCAGTGGCCATCCTGCCTCCTCTGATCCCAGAAAATCTGGAGGAGGAAGCAGCTCCCATGCCCACACCTACTCAGGGGCTGAAGGCTCCAAACAAATCCTGATCCACAGACAATAAAAATGTTTCCTGGAATCTGCTGTCACCAGGTTATATGTTTGATCATTTTAGATTCAGTGTTAGTGCATTTTGCTGGTTCCTAAACTGCACAAGATCATTTGTCACAAGGCTGACAAGGAGAAAGCTGAGTGTCTCATATAGATAGAGAGCTGATAGTCCTGTTCCAGTAGGAGGAAAAACAACTGAAATGATTCTATGCTTTGATGTGAATATGAAGTTGCCAGTGACCTCTTGTTACAATTTGATGTCTATGGTATTGTAATTTCCTCAGAGACATCCCATTAACCTTTGAGATTTGTAAGGGGAAGAACTTTCCAAGATAACAACAAAAAATGAGCAAGAAAAAAAAACTTTATTTCTCTTTCACTGAGTGACCTTTAAACAAAATTCTTCTGCACTGCGTTTTGCAACATGAAGAAAGAGGTCTGACGCTGGTCCAGATTTCTGTCTTCTCTATGTGAGAAGCCAGTCCTCTGACCAGGCGTGTGTGTGGGGCAGCCACAGCTGAGTCAGAGTTCTCAGGGTTTCCCTTTGAGAAGGGAAGAACTTCATCCCCTGCTAGGA